GTGCTAACGAGCAGTGTAATGGCCATCGGTGGACAGAGGACTGAGGCCCTCCAGAGGATGATGACCCCATAAATGTCACCACACCACTGGCTTTGGCAGAGGTGGCCTTGAGGCTGGCATGACCCCCAAGCCAAACGCGGCCCAGCCGAGGAGGAAGGCTTTGGGCCCTGCTTCCCAAGTGGACGTTCCAGGAAAGAGTCAGATGATCAAAGTTATGGAAACCAAATGGCCCTCCTTTGTTTAGAGAGAAAGAGGGAAAAAAAAGTCACTCATTTTTGTGGTAAAGTGGAACACTCTCCAAACCAAACAATCCCTCTCAGACCCGAAAATGCCAGCTCCCCAGAGCAGGCCCACAGCCTGGGAGGCTGATGAACTGATGGGAGGCCGTGTCGAGCTGGTGCTACGGCCTCGGCCGCGTCTCCTCCGTCCTCCCAGCGAGGGTCTCGTCTGCTTTGCTCCAGAAATAGCTGGTCTCCCAGGCAGGAAAGGAAAATGAAAGGAGGGGGGACGTGAGAAGCAGTCTACCTGACCCAGGCTGACCGAGCCAATGTTGGGCTCTCCCTCCCTTTCCTGTTGCGATGTAGGGAAGAGAGGAGCTGCTCAGAGAGAGCCCGGGAGGGAGCCGGGGCCCCGGTGCGTGGCTGAGGTGCGCACCCTTCAACTCCGCCCGCAGAATGCAGTCAGGAGTCACGAGGCCTCCTGTGGCCGCGCCGTGGCCGGCCTGTGACTCCGTGGGCAGGCTCCGTGGGCAGGGATCTGCACTCCCAAGTATTACTAGAGCATTTGCAGCACCAAGAGAAAGTAAATATAGACTGTCATCAGCCACTCCTGTCCCGAGTTTGGTTTATCCTCTAATACGAGCCTTTCCTGGAACAGGGAAGCGCTTGGTGAGAATACTGGAGAATCCAGTTCTAGTCCTGGCTTTGCCTCTGACACGCTGTGCAATCAGGAGTTACTGTGGCCTCTCTGAGCCTCCATTTTGCATCTGGAAAATGAGCCCTGTGAGCCCTGCCTTGCCTTGGTTCGTAAGGTTGTAGTGAGAGGAAATCAAGCGTGCCTGTCATCAAGAGGTGGCAGCCAGACTGCCCAGGTGCTGATCCAAGCTCCCCTGTGTAACGCTGGGCAAGTGTCTCCACCTATGTCTGTTAAATGAAGGGAATAACATCCTTCCCTGATAGCACTGCTAGAAGGTTACACTAGATTACGTGATGTGTATGATGTACTTAGAGAGCACCGACACACATGCCCCAGCTAGTCTCACTGTCGTTATTGCCATCATAGATGGGAAAACATCTTGAAGATAATAATGCTCGGTTCAGGCACTGTGTGATCCGCCACTGTCCTCATAAGCTTCATAATTGTACTCAACACACCCTCACTATTCTGGCAACATTCCATAATCTGCCAGTGCTTGTTCTAAATATGAGGGGAACCTCCAGTAGCTTCCTGTTACATTTAGGAAAAGTCCCAAAAGCCCCACCATGACCTACAAGGCCTTGGTCATCTGGTCCTGCTGCCTTTTCTAGCCTCATTTTGAGCCACTGTCTCACTGAAATTTAACAGCCTTGTCAGCCTTCTGTTAGCTCCCAGAAGACCTGGGCTCCTTCCTGCTCCAGGATCTATGCAGCTCCAGTGCTCTCCCACCCCATCTCCTCTCCACCCAGCCTTAGGTCTCAGCTCACAGATCCTTTCCTCAGGGAAATATTTCCTGACTTCCCATATGAGAGCAAGCCCCCTGCTTTTCCTTCTTTGTGTTCATCACAATTTAATTAAATAGTAATTTGTGTAACAACAGCATTTTTTTCTGCTTTGTTGTGCTTTCCTCATGAGCTCTCTTCCTCAAGAACTCCTATTCACCCGTCAAAACCCAATGTTCATGTTATTTCCTATGCAAAGCCCTCCCTCATTTTCTCTGTTCCCCTTACTCAAACAGGGGTACTCATTCTTTTTCTTTTTTTGCGGTACGCGGGCCTCTCACTGTTGTGGCCTCTCCCATTGTGGAGCACAGGCTCCAGACATGCAGGCTCAGCAGCCGTGGCTCACGGGCCCAGCCGCTCTGTGGCATGTGGGATCTTCCCGGACAGGGGCATGAACCTGTGTCCCCTGCATCAGCAGATGGACTCTCAACCACTGTGCCACCAGGGAAACCCAGGGGTACTCATTCTTATTAGAATTCTAAATGAAGTTTTGATGTAGTAGGTGGCATTTGCCTGGAGGGCCTAAGAGTGCCTGCATTTTGTTCTGCTAATTATCCCTTCTCCTTAGGCTACACACCCAAGGAATAACAGGAAATAAATGCCACTTATTATTAGCTAAGTTCAATGTCTGATGTCCCCAGGGCATAAGGCCTGCCCACATTCCCTAAATCCAATAGATAACTAAAACAGTGGCCATTAAACAAACAAAAAGAAAACTGCAGTGCTTTGTTTGTTGTGTTCACTTCCAGGCCTAGCACAATGCCTGGCACATGGTAGACATTCAAGAGAATATGTTTTTTAATAAAAATGAATATGTTTAAATAAGCAACAAGGATATGTTGTACAGCACAGGGAAATATAGCCATTATTTAGTAATAACTTTAAATGGAATATAATATATAAAAATATTGAATCACTGTTACACACCTGAAATTAATATAGTATGGTAAATCCACTCTCCTTCAGTCAAAAAAAAAGTCTCGTACTAAAGACTAAGATTAAAAAAATGGGGCTTCCCTGGTGGCGCAGTGGTTGAGAGTCCGCCTGTCGACGCAGGAGACACGGGTTCGTGTCCCGGTCCGGGAAGATCCCACGTGCCGCGGAGCGGCTGGGCCCGTGAGCCATGGCCTCTGGGCCTGCGCGTCCAGAGCCTGTGCTCCGCGACGGGAGAGGCCACAACAGTGAGAGGCCCGCGTACCAAAGTAATATTTTTACTTATTCAAAAAAACTGAAGGTGTTTAATAACTATCTCCCCTGCCGTGTCATGAAAAGCAGAGACTGTGTTTCTCTTCTCAAAGCCTGTGTCTCTAGCTCGTAGTAGGCCTTGAATAAATATTTGTTGAGTGAATGAGTGAATGACCTGAAATAACCTCCCTAACTTGTCACCACTTGAAGTTCTCCCGAGACATCAGGGGAGACTGTAATTGGCCATCCTCTTCATCCTCCTTCCATGGAGACACAGTGCTTAGAACTCAGATGTGTCCTCCAACTCCCATCTCATGTGGCTCTGGTCCTTAAATCCAGGCATGGAGGATATGAGGCTTCCTAATCTCCACTCAGGCAAGTGTTTAGTGGCCCACATTCAAATGTCATTAGAGACATCAGTTTCATATCAAGTGCCAACAACAGCATGGCATCCTTCCGTTACATATGGAAAGGCTTCCTTTCTGTCTTCTAGGTGTTTGTATTCACAGCTTGATTAAAGGAACACATATTATTCATCTTCATATCACCTACAGGTCCTACCACGATCTTTTGAACAGAGCATGCACCCAATAAATGTTGAGTCATGAAGGAATGACTACCATATGCTGAGTATAGTAACTTCTCAGCCATGCTTCTGGCCCCAGAATCTGGGACACAGGGAAGTTTTCAAGGAGTTCAAGATTAAAATTGCTTAAGCTTTTCCCCGGACATCCATTAGGATAAGAAAAAGAACTCCCCCACCTCCAGATTCCCCCCACTCTAATCCAGCTTTCACAGCTACATTTGCTAAAACTTCCAAAATCATCACTTCAAGTTTTTCTCCAAAAACCTCCAAAGCTCTTTTCATAGCCAATAATAGGCCTAGGTCCAAATCCCTCAGTCTTAACTCGAAGAACTTGGAGCACATTTTCTTATACTGATCTTTTCAAATCCTCCTTACGTCCTACCCTGGGGCAACCCTTTTGTTTTCTCTGTCTTTGCTGATGCCATCCCTCCCACCAAGAATGCCTCTTCCCCATCTCTCCACTGAAGCGCAGCTCATGTTTTGTATTCCCTGTGACCTCATCGTGTCACCCACCTAAAGGAAGCTACCCTGTCTTCTGAAGCCAAACCATATTTTGGCTTAGCTACTTGTATCTGTCAGCAAACTTTTTTTTAATTGAGATATAATTGACGTATAACATTATATTAGTCTCAGGTGTACAATATAATGATTCAATATTTGTATATATTGTGAAATGATCACCACAATAAATCTAGTTAACATCCATCACCACACATAGTTATAATTTTTTTCATATGATAAGAACTTTTAAGATTCACTCTTAGAAACTTCCAAATCATGCTGTACATTACATCCCCATGACTTATTTATTTTATACCTGGAAGTTTGTACCTTTTGACCATCTCACCCATTTCACGCACCCCACCCCCGGCCCCTGCCCCTGGCAACTACCAATCTGTTCTCTGTATCTATGAGTTGTGTTTTTTTTCTTTTTTAGATTCCACATATAAGTGAGATTATACGGTATTTGTCTTTCACCGTCTGACTTGTTTTACTTAGCATAATGCCATCAAGGTCTATCCAAGTTGTCACAAATGGCAAGATTCCCACTTTTTGTGGCTAAATAGTATTCCATTCTACATCTATATGCCCTATTTTCTTTACCCATTCATCTGTAGATGGACACTTAGGTTGCTTCCCCGTCTTGGCTGTTGTAAACAATGCTGAGTCAGCAAACTTTTCCCATGAATGTGGCTTCTCTCTCAAACTAGACTTAGACCTGAAGCTCCCCGAGTATCAGACTAATACCTTCTCATTTCCCCTCAGGGATGCCTGGTCTATGGTAAGAACTCACCCTCTATTTGCTCACTGCTTGACTCCGCTGGACATTCAGGATCAGAGACTAGTGGTATTCAGGCAGAAGGCCTCGAGTCCACTCTAGTGGATTTTACAACTTAAGATGAGTTTATATTTCAAAACATTACTGCTTTTCCGGTGTCTCCCAGGACTTGGTTGATGGTCTGTAGGAAGCACTGAATATGAAATTATAAACTTGCCTCACTCCTCTTAATCCAGTGACTTCCTTTTTACAGATGAGAAGCCCTTCACTGTGGAAGATACTTATTTGCTGTGTCCAGCGCCTATCTTAAAGGAAGTTGGCATGTAAGTTTCCACCAGCAGCTAAACCCCACAGCCAGGGAGGAGAAAGGGGGTAGAGGGGACAAAAGGAGGAAAAAGAGTCTCTCTTCATTGTCATTATGGAGCCTTTCTCTCCTCCATGTAATGATAATGGTGCCGATGCTTTGCAGTGAGCCAGACACCAGGGTAAACGTTTCGCAAAGGGTACCTCCCTTTATCCTCCCAAGAGCCCCATGAACCAGACACACACCATCCCAGTTTTACAGATGTGAAATCTGTAGCTGAGAGAACTTAAGTAGCTTTCCCGAAGGTCACACAGCAGTAGGTGGAACAGTATGGGTTCAAAACAAGGTCTGTCTGGCTTAATCACAGCTACATTTCTAGAAAGCTCTCATGCTTCCCAAAGCACTCTCATATCATAACCTCACCCTGTCATCATAATTGCCCTTCTAGCGAGAGAGAGACATGGACATATATATACTAACAAACGTAAGGTAGATAGCCAGTGGGAAGCAGCCGCATGGCACAGGGAAACCGGCTCGGTTCTTTGTGGCTGTCTGGAGGGGTGGGATAGGGAGGGTGGGAGGGAGGGAGACAAAGAGGGAAGAGATATGGGAACATATATATATGTATAACTGACTCACTCTGTTATAAAGCAGAAACTAACACACCATTGTAAAGCAATTATACCCCAATAAAGATGTTAAAAAAAAAAAAATAATTGCCCTTCTAGATGATTATATCCTTTCTTAGAGATAAAGAAACTCAGAAAGGAAGCTCAAAAATGATAAGTGGGTCCACGACTGGTTCAAGACTCCATGTTCAGACCCCTCTGAGGCCACGTTCAGTGTTCCTTCCTCAGTGTCTCTCCAGAGCACCATGTATTTGGCCAGGCGGCCCGAGGTTCCCTGAACTAATTTATGGAGAAAATCTTGCGATGGTGCAGTTATAGTAAATGCTGATGAGATGAGATCAAAATATTCAAGAGGAGGGAGAGAATTAGCACCCTGAGCAAGAAAAGAAATATGCAGGGAAACAGAGAGGCGATGTTTGTGAAAGAACACAAACTAGCCTCTCTGTAAACGCATCTATAATAGGCTGAAGATAGAATGGAGGCTTTAAGGAAAACTGCCAAACTTGCTCATCTGAATTCTGCTTTCAATTATTTGTTCAAATTACAAAGCTTCCAACTCTGGTTGCCTAACATCAGCCTGTGATACCACTGATTCCACAAACTAGCCCCGTGTCCATGCTGCAGAATGCAAGCTTGTGCTTCAGTGAGCATCTTATAGATGGGAGGAAATAGAAGGCAGATTAGTTCATTTACTGCTGTACCTCTGTGTGTTGGCCGGGTAGCAACAAAACCACGGCCATCAGAATCTGATCACTGAGAATCCAGATAACAATAGAGTTTCTAGCTTGACCAGTTTATCCCCCACTGATTTGAACCATGTTTTAAGAATACTTCGTACTACAATGGGACAAGTAAATTAAATGGGAGCAGGCTCTGCCCATTCAATGCAATTCTCCACAATGTAAGAAGGGCTGGATACGCTGCCTTGATACACCAGCCAGGTGTATCCAGACATCTCTCTAGAATGTTACAGGTGGATGGGCCCTGGAGACCATCCTCCACATTTTACAAATGAGACAGCTCAGGCCCCCAGAGGAAGAGACTACAGTCCCAAGGGTAGTTCAGAGCAGAGCCCTCGGGGGACCTGTGTGTCCTGCTCTCGGCCCCTTGCTCCTTGCCCACATGCTGAGCATCCTTGGTTCCCATGTCATTGCAGGAAAGCCGCGCTTCAGGTCAGCATGAACGACGGCCTCTCCTTCATCTCCAGTTCTGTCATCATCACCACCACACACTGTGTAAGTCATCACCTTTCCCTTCACTGAGAACTTCATTGGCATTACCGTCTCCCTGGCAAGTTTCTTTTACCAGTTCTGCCTTCTGTTCACTGAGCTTTGACCCTGGCACTGCTAGGCCAGATGTGGGCTGCATCGGGGGCTGTACACGTATCACGAGTGTATCAAGAATGCCTTTGCTTCCCCGGGTTCCCCATTTCTGTTACTGAGGGTGAGACCTGGACACACTTTCACAACCAGATGGCAAGGTGCGACCAGGGTCTGTGCAGTATTGAACGGGGATGCCTGCCTGGATGGACTGGGTCTGGGAGAAAATTCATAGAAAAAAATTGGACGGTATATATAGGAAACATCTTAAGGAGTTTTTCCTCTAAAAGGAAGCAGGAAAATGGGGCAATAACTGAAGGAAGAAGTGGAGTATAAAGAGAGGCTTTTATTCAGAAAGGAAGAAATTGCAGCTTATCGATATGATTGTGGAAATAGTCCAGGAGAAAATGGAAAATTCATGATGTAGGAAAGAAGCAGGGAGGGGCCCTATGACATAGGGGTTGGAGGCAGAGTGTGGCCTGTATCCTCTACCATCTACCCCATCTCTGGATCCTTCGTGGTAGGTAACATTCAGCTCTGACTACACATAAGATCACCTGATCTTATAAAGATAAGATCATCCATACATTTATCCTACATAAAGATCATCCATTAAAAAATATGGATGCCCTGACCTCATGCCAGACCAATTGAAACAAAGTCTCTGGAGTGGGCCCCAGCTTTGGTGGATTCAGGGCCCCCTTGGGAGGGTCTTTTGTGCAGCTATAAGTGGGAACCCTTCAGCCCATGTAGTTGCTCCCATGGTCAGTGTCTTGGAGCCCAGCCCGTCAGAGGGCAGTCGGGACTTGGTTAGCTCATATACAGGTCTCAAGCCCTAATATGAACATTTCTGAAAGAATCTTTGTCTGAACATTCAGTTTCTATAACCAAATGCACTTTTCCCATGAGCTCATTCTAGAGACAAATGTGTTTTGGCCTGATGGTCAGCTTAGGCAGATACCATGGTCACTTCCTGGCTGGCCTTTGGAGGGCATGTCGTTAGAACCCCTCAGTGACTGGGGTTTGTGTCCTTAACACCATCCAGGTGGACGAGAGAGAGCAGGCAGGCACTGGAGCCAGACAAGGGAAAAATGAGTTGTCTCACAGACGAGCAGGAGACCAGGCCTCACAATGGACAGCACACCCTCCCAGCTCCCCTGCCTTCCCCTACACACACACACACACACACACACACACACACACACACACACACACACTTTCCGTCCTATGTTAGGAACCAACCAGTTTTCTTGAAAGCAGGGTAAGCCAGTGCAATGGGTACAGACAATGGAAAAGTTTTACTGGACCAAAGTAAGAGACTAGGGTTGTCACAGAGACATGTCACCACTGAGAAATGTCTGTGTTTCAGGCATGCCTCAGTGGAATGTCAGATCTAGAGACCAAATATGAAAACTGGATTCAAGAGTAGTGAAATTTCTCCAAGCATACCCTGCCTGATTCTTTTAGAAGTGGACCCTTTTGGAAACTGCCAACCTGCAGGAAATGATTAAAATACCCCAAATCTAATAACTCCATTCCAGATTCCTCCCTGCTTTTGAATGATCCAACAGTTTGGGCCTGTATTTCTCATTATGTCCAACCAGACCAGAGAAACAGCTATGCCCCGAGGCCGCGAGGGCAGGGAGGTGGGAAGGGGAAATATCTTGGGGCCAAGCGTGTGGTGTGGCAGAAGCAGGACTACAAATTTAAGTTCTGGACCTCTAAGCCAAGAAGAAAGGGTGTCCCCACTAATGTACCCCAAAAGGAAAAGAACTCCTGGTAAAGCCCCTCTTATGTCTTCCCAGCTCACTCCAACCTGCACTTACGTCTCCCATCTCCTTCATCCGAGTGCAAGTCACTAGGTTTTCTGTTCGACTGACCCTTGACTGGCACCACCTCATAACGTCTTCTGCATTATTGCCGTGTCGCTTGAGAATGCTGCGTGTCTACAACAAAATTATAAGCACCCTAAGATATGAGATCCAGGTCCATTCACTCATTTATTCAACAAGTATTCACTGATTATGCACAATGTGCCAGATAGGCACTGCCCTGGGTGCTCGGGATACATCAGGACACAACAAGACAAAAATCTCTTATCTCGCAGGGATGTGGGGAGAGAAGGCAGACAGTGAATAATGGACGTAACAAATGAATCACACACTGTGTTAAGAAATAATATAGGCTATAGAAAAAATAGAGCAGAGTAAGAGGTACTGCTTGAGTGAATGAGTTCAAATTTTAAATAGAGATACATTGAGAAGGTGGCATTTGAATAGAGACTTTGAAGTTAACTGTGAGGCACCTGGGGAAAAAACACACCAAACGCTGAGCCCCAGTGCTCAGAGCACACAAACCACGGTCGCCTGGTGTGTACAAGGAAGAAAGTGGCCGGTCACTGGAAGAGAGTAAGTGAGGCGAGCAGTAGGCGGTGAGGTTATGGGGATGGAGAGTGGAGGGTCTTGTGAGAACTTCAGCTTTTGCAGAGGCACAACGCAATCTGACTTACACTTGAAAGATCACTCGGCTGCTGGAACAGCCCACGGGAAGACAAGGATGGAAGGACCATGACTAGTTAGCAGGGTCATGGCAATATTTCAAGCAAAAGTGATGATGGTGGCTTGACTCAGAAGGGAGCAGTGGCAATGAGAGAAGAGGTCAGAGTCAGATGTGTCTTAAAGGCAAAGCTAACTTATTTCCCAAAGCATTAGACATAGGGCTTGAGAGGAGAGGAATCAAGAATGGCCCCAAGGCGCAGCCACTATGGAAAACAGTATGGAGACTCCGTAAAGAACTAAAAGTAGAGTCACCATATGATCCAGCAATCCCACTCCCGGGTATATACCTGGAGAAAACCATACTTTGAAAAGACACATGCAGCCCAATGTTCATAGCAGCACTGTTTACAATAGTCAAGACATGGAAGCAACCTCAATGTCCATCAAGAGATGAATGGATAAAGACGATGTGATATGTATATATACACAATGGAATATTGCTCAGCTGTAAAAAGAACGAAGTAATACCATTTGCAGCAACATGGATGGACCTAGAGATGATCATACTAAGTGAAGGAAGTCAGAAAGAAAAAGACAAATACCATATGATATCACTTATATGTGGAATCTAAAATATGGTACAAATGAATTTACTTACAAAACAGAAACAGACTCACAGACATAGAAAACAAATTTATGGTTACCAAAGGGGAAAGGGCGTGGGAGGGGTAAATTAGGAGTTTGGGATTAGCAGATACAAACTACTGTATATAAAACAGATAAATAACAAGGTCCTACTGTATAGTGCAGGGAACTAAATTCAATATCCTATAATAAATCATAATGGAAAAGAATATGAAAAAGAAGATACATATATATATATATATATATATATATATATATATAATACTGAATCACTGCACTGTACACCAGAAACTAACACAACATTGTAAATCAACTATACTTTAATAAATTTTTTTTTTTAAAAAAGACCCCGAGGGCTTTGGCCTAAGTAATTGAAAGGATGGAGTTGCCCTCAGTTGACAGGAAGAAGACTGAAAGGGGAAATTTGAGGCAGAGGGCGATTTGGGAGATCAGTTTTGCTGTCAACCAGTTTTGCAACTTTGACCGAGTTGTTTAGCTCCTAGGTGCCTCAATTTCCTAATCTGTAAAATTAGAAAAATAATAATTTACATCTCTTAGCAGTATTGTGAGTATTAAATGAAATGATTATGTAAAGTGCTTGGTGGAAGGCCTGACCCGTAGTAAGTGCTCAATAAATGTTAATTATTATTATAGTGGAAGCTTAGTCAAAATTACTGACCTAATTGGAGATTCTTCCCAGAGAGTCAGCTTCTCACTTCAGAGTCCCTTATAACAAAAGGATTTTTCTGACACAAGATATACTCCTATGAGTACATGTTTGTCACTCGACCAAGCCCAGGTGATTGAAAGGGGGCAGACAAGCCAAAATCATCCAGAGAAGAGGACCTATATTCAAATATTCAATCCCAATCTCCAACAGGTCCTACACAGAAGCTCAAATTAAAAAGACTAAAGCCATCAGTGGGCAAAATAGAGATGCAGGTGGAGTGTGTGGTAAAATCCAGAATATGAAGTAAGATCTTGGACTTGCCTTTGTTTCCTGGGCAGCTGGTTTGGAGGACAAGGTTTTTAGATCAAAAACTATCCCCTGGGTCTGAGTAAAGGGTTAGAGTTGTCAGTACCAGTCTCAGCCTGCCCAGTCCATCACCTGGAACCAAAAATAATTTTAAAATATGTAATTGAGCCTCTTTTTTTCTTGCTTTATTTGGTGCCCATTTGGACAACCATGTCCAAGATCTGCAATGAATAACTGTTGCCTCTGCCAGGAGCAGAAATTCCATGAAGTTTTACAGGAAAGAGATTTTTCCATCCAAGAACTAAAAGATTCCTATACTAATGGTAAACTTTGTTGAGCTCCATGACTATAGAAAATGGTGAAACATCCAAAGCCCTCTCTTTCCGGCATATTAAACACTTCCCACCTCTAGAGTCTTCACTGGACTCCTTTTTCTTCTCCAACTCTAGCAATAGGTTGAGAAAGTCACTAATATGGTGCTGCTCTAAGGGAAATAGAAAAAAGAAGTTTGTCCTTTTGAGAACAAAGCAAGTAAATTTAGGACCTTAAGGAACTTTTCATGAAAGTTTGTCTTCTTCTGGATAAGTACCTTAAAATTCTATAATTTCCCACCTAAGGTGTACAAAAAATCAGAGAATCATTCAACAAGTATTTCTCAAACTGCTCCTGTGTCTCCAGTGCTCCATTTACATTTTACAAGTCGCTGTCCCTAAGGAGCTTAAAATCCAGCTTGGGAAATGAGTCCAACAAGCACATAAAAGAGTATGTAACAAAGACCAAGACTGTGGAAGCCAGGT